TCACAATGTTTTTGACACCAGCAGAAGAACAGCTCAGAGTGAAGCGAGGCAGCAGGAAGTACTCGGCAGACGACTCACAGTGGTTGATACTCCAGGCTGGTGGTGGTTTTATCCAAGAGAAGAAACCCCAAAACTGGATCAGATAGAAATCCATAAGAGCGTCCATCTGTGTCCCCCAGGACCTCATGTCTTTCTTCTGGTCATTCCTGTTAGTTTATATTTATCTCATCATGTCAAACTATCTCTACAGGAACACTTGAAACTTTTCATAGCAGATGTTCTCAGTCACACCATCGTGCTGTTCACTGCAGTCCATCCATGTAGTGATGAAACCATTGAATCCAAAATCAGAAGAAGTCCAGCCCTGCAGTGGATCCTTCAACAATGTGGAAACAGAAAACATGTTCTCAACATCAGCAACAGAGAAGATAGAGATCAAGTCAAAATCCTTCTAGAGAAAATTGAGGCGATGATTGAACAGAACAGGGGCAGACACTGTTCTGTTGATGAATCTGATGGAAATGCTCTGAGAGAGAGACTGAAAGATTTGGTTAAAAAAGCCTCAAAAAGGTTTGATGAAGTTCAGAAACAAAGAAGAAACCAGAAGCTGCAGATTGAAGGTAATTCTACTTTATTTCTGTCAGAATAAAGCAATAAATGTTTCTGCAGACGTCTCTGGGAGCTCGACATACAAAACATATTATTTAATTAGAACATTTGGAAAAAGTTTTTTTTTTATTGTTGGTAAAATAGAAAAAGAAACAGGATTCATTGTAAAACCATCTTAATCTAAGGATTCACTTAGTTCATTTATTTTCTCATACGAATTCCAATAAACTAACAGCTGCTTTTTTCTTTGACAAATGTATTTTTTTCTCCACATTATCAACTCTACTCTAAACAGACCTGAGCTGCAAACTTTTAAATAATAAATGATTGGTTTGTTTTAATGATTTAGGTGGAAAAGTTCCTCCAAACCATTTGAGAATATTGATGATTGGTGAATCATATGTTGGAAAAAGTTCAGCAGGAAACATCATTCTGGGAAAAAATGCATTTAGTCTTACTGAAAGTGTTGGAAGAACAACAACAGGCAGTGAAATAAGCCACAGTGTGGTTGAAGGAAGGCGGCTCACAGTGGTGGATTCTCCTGGATGGTTCTTCATCCACACCCTTCAGGACACCAGTGAGATGGACAAACTGGAAATAGAGAACAGTGTGAATCTCTGTCCTCCAGGACAGAGATTCACACTGTTCTCTATTTCCAGTTTGT